GAGCTGTTGGAATTATTAAGGTCATGTGACCGGTTAGAAGAGTTAGTGATATCCAGTTCGTTTGGTATGTCCCGGTTGTACTACAGACCCAGTACGAACGTACTTGCGGACGTGTTTTCAAAGTCACTTAAGAGATTAGATCTAACTAAATGGGATATTACTTATGAAGTGATGGACGAAGTTTTGAAGCAGTTTCCAAGTGGACTGCAGTATTTAGCGTGTCATAGCTATGATTTTTCACGTAGTCCAGAGAAAGTAAAGAAGAAATATGCCGACATGTTGCAGAAAAAAGACTTTATTGTCGAAAGTCTTAGAGTAGATTCACAAAAAGAAGGATCCAGATGGACTCGTCCTATTTACAAGATCGTCATTGAATTCGGGAACAATGCCTGTGACAAACAGAAATTAACAGATAAATTGATAACTAATTGAGTCACTTCCAAAGGCGACGTGATTACACTCAATTAAATGGATAGCTCTAATGACGAATGCGCGATAAAAGCAATGATGAAGAAAGAGTCGATTAATGTTTCTATTCCTTCTCTAGAAAACTTGTTATTTCTTCAAAAAGAGGATCACGACTATGGAAAAGTCGGCAGAGGGTAATTCTTATTCTGCATTGATCGGATTCCCATTCTCCTTTTCTCATTTTTGAGAAGCAAGTCATTATCACCAAGGCACGAAGCTCAATTATTACTTGTTTATAAACCAATTTCTTCATCACATGTAATGTACATATTGTAATAAATCATAATAATAATGCTTACGTTGGGAATTGTGGTGATTAGCTCATACTAGGAGAGACGGCTTGTTTGTCATTGACAATTATATCTATTTTGTAGATGAAGATGAACCAATGGTAAATGAAACAAAGAAACATGATTAACTTGAAAGATGATTCTAAGAGACGCAAACTATCCGGTCGTTGTTTTACGTATGAAGCGAACCAAATTACTTGTTGGCCAAAACAATCGCACTAGTGTCCTACTCACCATATAATACAATGTATCTAAAAATATAGGTCACTTTAAAACATCGACGATGTCAATAGAATAAGTTGGAAGAATTATAGGCTTGTTTTTTTTACTTTATTAATCTCGACAAAGTTTTCAGTCTCTTGATATTTATACTGACACTTTGTGGGTTAAGATTATTTCGCAATATCCGGACTATTATCAATTAAACGTCATGCGGTTGAGAATTACTCAATAGTTGACGCGTGCTTTAGCCAAATAGATGAAAATACGGTGATTGGTAATAATTTAGACGCTGACTGCATAATAGCAAACTGTTAAGAATAAGAGTCTCAAGTCGCAATTATATCCCAAGCTT